GCCGTCGCTGTCTCGCCGCGTCGCTCCTGGATTGCAGCTAGCCTTGGCCCGCAATCCATCCGCGCTCTCCGGCCACCCACCGGGGCAAGCAGGCCACCAGTGTATATATATAGCCCGGCTTGTCCCTCCCCTCCATCGATCGACCCGACCATCCGGCGAAAGCCAGCGACGGGGGACTAGCTAACTGAGGTTGCACGCTAGCTAGCTCCTGGCTTCCATCGGAGACTGAAGGCCAGCTCGAGTCTAGCTGCTGCAAGGTAGCAGCCGCGCACAGGAGAGGAGGGCGGGCCAGCTAGGTACGCAAGATAGTTAACCAGCATCCATTTACCTCGTGGTTTCTTCTTCTCTTCTGCGTCGCCGTGCATGCTGAAGTTTTGACCGAAGCGTGCTTCGTGGGTTAGGGGTTCGCTTGCTTCGAGGTGTTTGTCGGAGGAGAAGACGAGGAGGGGGAGCAGCGAAAGGTTGGCCCTGCCCTGGAGCAAAAGCAGCGCTTGGCAGAACTCGGTGCGCGCATCTGCACGCGCGTAGGCGTGGTGAAGCACCGGTACGTTCTTCCTGCGCCATAGATTCTTGACTGTCAGCGTGCAAGTGTGCTTGTCTTTCACTCTCTTGATTGATCGTATGTGTAGATAGTTAGATATAGCAGTTTTGCTATAGCACATCTAGATGTGCTCTAAGTAGCACATCTAAATCTTATGTTATTGATTTTACGCTAAAATAAAATTTGTGCAAACATTTTCTTTTGTTTTTTTGTTCTTTTCTTTCCAGATTAATTGAGTCACTTACATGTGTGATAAGTAGGGCACATCTAGATGTACCCTAGCTATAGCACATATGTATGTGCTCTAAGTATTGCACATCTAAATCCTCCTCATCCACATGAGAAATTTAATTAGTTTTGACTTGCGATCTACTGCTTCTGGAATGCAGTCATTATATTTAGCTTCGTCCGCACAAAAGAAAAATAACAATAGAAAAATATGGGGCTCAATCATATGGTCCTGCAATCCTACATACGAAGAAAGTATTGTCCTTTCTGCCATGAGTTCGTAATTACTCTTATTTTTATGTCTCTCTTTTAGTTCTAGTTCAAAGGAGCTATTATTAAACATAAATTAGTTTTCTATAAATCCCCATCCTTTATACAGAGCAAAAGTGACATTCATCTTTTTACTAGTTGGCCTGAAGATGTATAGTTGTGAGTTTAATTTAGCAAAATCTGCACTTTTAACCTTTCGAATAACCTAGCTTTAACCACACACATAGCAAAGCTATGCAATCCAAACAAAAGGCCATGAAAATTGTCCTAGTGAAATTTTGTATATTCGACAATTACAACTTGGTTTGCCTAGAATTAAGCAAGCATTTGATGTTCTTGCACCAATGCATATTCTTAGAGTAGGCTATCACTTTTTCAGCAAGATCTCAAGCTTCACACCTTTTATATAGAAGTCCACAGAGTTATGATGAGTACGAACACACCTTCATGAAGTTTTAAGTAAACAAAGGCCATGAAAATTGCCAAAGAGTTGACAAAGAAAAGAATCAGGAAACATGCAATTTGATAATCATACACTTGACCAATTCATTTCATTGCAATGAAATCGTTGTCAATTCAACCTAGTTTGCATAGAATTAAACATCTTTTATAATGCTGATTTTTGGAGTAAGCTATCACACTTTCTTAGCAAGGCCTCAAATTTCACCATTTTTATATAAAGATGTATACGCAAAAGTGTGTCGACTTTGAATGTGAATATAGCTTCATGAAATTTGAAATATGACAACTAATATTACATGTTTACATATGAATATCACTACTAATTCTAATTTGCTTCAAATAATTGAAAATCTGCCTGTCAACTTTTTTGAATCCCAATTATTTTTATTTAGAAACACCTAATACTACATAAACTCACACACACATGCACACCAGTAAGCTTCTAGTCCCACACACACTCACACAATATCTACTGAAGATTCAAACCATGGGGCCTCATGATCAACACATATACCTCACTATTGACGGGAACATCGCCTCACTCTCACACTGAAATAATAATTCACATAAATGAGACGACGAAGCATCAAACCTAGGAGTAATTAATCCCTTATGGGCGTTGGATTACAATCACCCTCCAAAATTTGCACTAGTTTTTGTTAGGTTTTATATGAAGTGATTAGAAATGTGACTTACAGATGTGTTGATCTTTTGTTTGTTGAAAAGGAGGAGAGCCGCTGGCCTTACAAATTTGATTGACAAATGTAGAGCTGCATATTATAGTCCCAATAGCAATAAATTCTACTCCCGCCGTTTTTCAATACAAGACCACTACCCCATTTTTCAGATAGGAAGAAAACCAAGCCAACTAATAAATAACACGATTAATTGTGTGGAAAATTAAACCTCCCATGTTCCGGGCTAATCAAACATGTTGCATGTGGTGTCTCTTTCTCTATGGCTAGCTGCAACATTTGCATAAATAAGCACTATCATACGAGGCAAAAATCTGATCAATTCTTCTCGGGAAGAGATAGTGAGCTTGTAACTTTTTTGTAATTGCCTTGTATTAATACCAGAGGGAGTATAAGATGTTGCACACGAATGGAGATGGAGTGACCATAATTAATAATCAGATGCATGATTCAAGAATGTTTTTGTTTATCAGGGGCAGTAGTGTCAACTGTCAACTAACTTGCTTCTAGCACCTATATTATTTTGATCAGTGGAAGAAGATGAATGCTTTCTCCCACGTCCCCCCTGGTTTCCGTTTCCACCCCACTGATGAGGAACTGGTGGATTACTACCTGAGGAAGAAGGTGCAACTGAAGAGGATTGACTTAGACATTATAAAAGACGTTGATTTGTACAAAATCGAACCTTGGGATCTACAAGGTAATCACAACTTCACTCATTCATGTTGTATACAATACAGCCAAACAAGCTTTCCTATGAGCGTGACCTTGCAATACACTACTCTAGCATGATTAGCAGAAGAATGACGTACCAGTCCATGCATTAAATTCAGTTTTTGAACGCACTAACCATAGCTCAAACGATGCTCAAACAGAACGATGCAAGATCGGAACGGAAGACCAGAACGACTGGTTCTTCTTCAGCCACAAGGACAAGAAGTATCCGACCGGCACTCGCACGAACAGGGCAACCACGGCGGGTTTCTGGAAGGCCACCGGCCGGGACAAGCCGATCTACGTGAAGCACTGCCTCGTGGGGATGAGGAAGACGCTGGTTTTCTACAAGGGCCGGGCTCCCAATGGGCAGAAGTTAGATTGGATCATGCACGAGTATCGCCTGGAGACCAACGAAAATGGAGCTCCCCACGTACGTAAGCTAAGCTGGCAAGCTCCCAAAATGTGAATGCTAGTAATAATTATTCGCGTCATACGTACCGTTCTTCAGGACCATTCCATCCCTAATGAAAATGTTAATTTGGTTGTACGTTTGGTGTTATTCAGGACGAAGGATGGGTGGTATGCAAGGTGTTCAAGAAGCGAGTTGCGACGGTGCAGAGAATGGCCGCCACTGACTCGGCCTTCTGGTTCAACAACGATCATGTGGCGTTCATGGCGCCTCGCGTCGACTCGCCGAGGCAGGCAGTGCACCACCTCCAGAACGCGGCGTACCATCATGGACACCACCAGACCTACCACCACCCGTGCAAGGTGGAGCTGGAGTACCATCAGCTCCTTCCTCAGGAGCCGGCAAGCTTCCTGCAGCTCCCGCAGCTAGAGATGCCCGGGCTTCCGGACCTGATCGGCGCCGTAGCTGCCAGTCTCCAACCGTGCAACCAGACGCACGACGGACAAGCTTCTCGGCAGCTTGAGATCGAGCCGGTTTATGTGACGGACGCATCCGCCGGAGAGTGGAGGGACCTTGACAAATTCATGGCGTCCCAACTCAGCCACGACGGCTCAACTCCGAAGGAGTCTAGCAGCTACGCTAATCCGGCGCTGGCGTTTCAGGCGGAGGGGAAGCACGAAGAGGCCTTGGATTACGTGTCGGCATCTGCCTCCAGCGGAGGGGACAATGGTTTGTGGAAATAACGTACGGCATATACAGACACAAGATACGAAAAGATACACACTAACGCACATCACTGTATAAAGCTTAAAAATATTGTGGTGTGAGATGATTAATGTACGTAAACATAGCTAGCAGTGCTATTAATTAAGCTCTATATATATGTACTAATAAAGTATAGCCAAATTGGTTGTACTTGCATGCACAATTTGGAGGGTGTAATGTCATAAGGTACTACCGCCTAGGCGATTGTAACAGCAATTTAGCTGCTCATGCTGTATAGTACTCCCAAAATGGCTGCTATATGGTCGGTGCCATGCACAGCTAGTGGTTATGCGCTTTCCAATTCAAGCGATGTAGTATAATTTTGTGAGTAATTTCCCTGATGCTAGACACCGCAGTGTATTGATATTCTTTACAGTTGTAGTGCTAATAAAACCTATCTATATCGATCTTATATGTGAACAACATATAATCTGGGTCACACACAAATAACATATAGAGGATTTTGTGCAGCGTATTGCATATGCAGCTCCAATCCCAGCCCTGCATTAGGCATGTGGGCAGGAACACAGAAAGCACTTTTTACTGGTGCAGGGAGATACCGGCGAACCATCCACCGTTCACATGATTTGCGATCTGTGTTTAAGTGGGACCCATTCATATGTATAACCATGTATTATGGTAGTTAATTTTTTGTATATAGTCAAATCAATGTCAGATTATTAGGGCCCATGTCAGGAGAAGTACTTTTTGCAGTGGCAGGTACATATGCATGCAACATCTCTCCTCTCTCTCAAACAAACCCATGCATTTTATTTTTGTTTACATTTTTAGGTGGCCAATATTTTTACAGCATTGTTCTATTATTTAAAATTTTCATATATTCAAATTCTTGAACATAAGATCTTTAGAATGAGATCAATCTTGAGTATATTTAAACTAGTTTAATTTTTACCATTTCAATAATATCAAAATATTAATTTCAGTCATTTCACATTACAATTTTCAAAATGATTGAAATAGGTTATTGAAATGATTGAAGCACTTTTCTGAATACAGTTTTCTTTGTGAGTTTCATATTCCAGCTTGCGAAATTGCTTCTTCAATGGAGTAATTGTGATGTGTGTTTTTCGAAACTAGTGAAACATATCTTTTGTAATGAGTGTAATCAGTTTTTTGAAACAAGTGAAATATAGTACTCCATCCATTCCAAAATATAGTGCGCCCGCGCTTCCCGAGGTTGAACTTTGACCATAAATTTAACGAACGAGACCTACTGCGGCGGGAGAAAAAAATTACATAATTAAAAACTTCTTTCGAATACGAATTCACTGATATAACTTTTGCTCCCGCCGCAATCGGTCTTGATAGTTAAATTTACGGTCAAAGTTGAAGCACGGGGATAGAGAAAGCACTACATTGTGGAATAGAGGGAGTATTTCAATTGAGCGACTGTAATGTGCCTTCTGAAATGAGTGTAATACGTTTTCTGAAATACTTATTTTGGAAACTAGTGAAATGAGTGTAATACGTTTTCTGAAAATGAGTGTAATGTGTTTTCTGAAACTAGTGAAATGGGTGAAATCTATATTTTGTAAATGAGTGCAGTGTGTTTTCTGAAATGAGTGAAATAAGTTATTTCAATTAAAGTGAAATAAAACCAATTTTTGCCGCGAAACTAATTTTTCAGTGTTTGAAAATGGTATTTTTTATTAGTGGAATACATTTCAATATATTTCGTAAATTCACAGTGAGATTACTATTGCAAATGAGAGTAATGTGTTTTCTGAAATGTGTGAAATCTTTTTTTGGAACGAGTGAAATGGTTTTTTAACTGAGTGAGTGTAATATGTTTTTTCTGAAATTAGTTTCTTGAAACGAGTGAAATAGAGTTTTAAAATCTATATTTTTTTTATGAGTGAAATCAGTTCTTTATGGGTGAATCTAATGTGTTTTGTAAATGAGTGGAATATGTATTCTGGAATTAGTGAAATAGTTTGTTTGGAGTGAGTAAAATCTGTTTATGGAAATAAGTGAAATAGTTTATTGAAATGAGTGAAATAATTTTTTGAATAAGTGATATCAGTTTTCTGAAACTCGTTTGAAATATAGTCAAGTTTGGTCTTGTTTTACAGATCTTAGCGTCAGAAAATCAAATATATAAAATGTTTCACAAATAGAAATTTGGTTCATAAGTTATTAGCCATTCGAAATGTGACCATGAAATAAAATACAACTAGTTTGTTTGGGGAGAGAGAACACTTTAAAATGCATGCAGCGATCCACACCCACTCTCACCTGCAAAAAGCTACACACTGGTGGGCTCCACCTGTGTATTTCAATGGTATAATAATTTACATATTTATACTTGTCAGACTGCACAAATCTTGATAAAACCGATTGATGGTGCATTGCATACTGGTACATCCCGGCACCGGTAAAAGAACTTTTTCGGGCAAAGACGGAACCAAGAATTGATGATAGGGGGGCTACAACAAGAATGACCAAAATCATACTCCCTCCATTCTAAAATATAGGGCGCTCGCGCTTCTCGATATCCAACTTTGACCATAAACACTAGTAGAAAAAGGGTCAAACGTGAAGCACATTAGTGCCGGTTTGTATTTGAGCCGGCACTAATGTATACATTAGTGTCGGTTCCAACGGCTAGCCGGGCCGCTTTCATTAGTACCGGTTCGTGGCGAACCTTTAGCACCGGTTCGTGCCACGAACCGGTACTAATGAGAGTGGTGGCAGGATGTTGTCAGACTGGGGCCCCTCCAGCCCCTTTAGTACCGGTTCTTGGCACGAACCGGTACTAAAGGTCGTCCTACATAAACCCTTCGTCCACCCGAGGTCGCTCTGTTCTTCCCCTTTCCCCTCTCCTCTCTGTTCTCCCCTCTTCCTCTCGAGCTCATCACACATTTTGCTCAAAATTTATCAAGATTTGAAGGCCCCCATCCATTCAAATGATCACAAAGGTTAGCAACTTTGTCCTTTTATCTCTCGTTGCTAGATTAGCTCTTGCAATGCTTTATATAGTGATTAATTTGTGAGTTTAGTAATTTGGAAGGATATATATATGTGCTAGTATTTGATTTATATGCAATTTGAGGTAAAAAAATAACACTTAGTTTGCATATGTAGGTGTGGTTTACTTAGTGCCTTCTAAATCTCCGTCGTAACCACCGTCGATCGCCCGCACCGTCCCGTCGCCGGCACCACCTTGTGGTGAGCCTCTTGTTTATGAAATTTTATATAAAAATTGATGTTTGTGTGATTTGGATATATAGTTACTCGTATAATTATCTTACTCGTACGTTGTTTGTTATACATATAGTGCCATGGTTTTGATATCCGTCCCCGTCGGCCCTCGTCCTTGTTATGATTCGGATGTGGTATATATATTCTCTTTTAAAACTAGTTGCATTTTGTGTTTATGACAAATTATGCCCATCAAGTTGACATAGAAATTTTTTCTAGGAGGTATGTGAACCGGAAATTCCAACCGACCCTATTGTCGAGAGGTTAAATTTAGTTGAAAGAGAAAACGAGTACTTGAAAGAAAAATTGAAAAGAATTGAGGGGGAGAAGATGGAATTGGAGTTGCATGTTGCCGATGTCGTCGATGATCACAAGATCAAGATGGAGAAAATGCACTTGAAGATTAGAAATATTAGAAAATATGCCATCGATAGTGAGGCTTGGTATCATTATGCTGTTGGATCCATTGTTACCTTAGTTGCGATCTTGATCGTATTTATTGTTGCATTTAAATGCTTTAGCTAGAGAGTTATTTGTTTGTTGCATTTAAGTGTTGTATGAACTTTATGTATGAACTTGTATTAATTTGGTCTATTCGGTGTTGTGTAATGAAGATGAGCCGGCAATGGATGTATGATGGCCGATGCTCTCCCCAGTTCGTTGAGGGCGTGCATACTTTTCTGCTTGCGGCTGAGGCAAACAAGCGGGCGGATGGTTTTATGCCTTGTCCATGTGCTCGCTGTAAGAATGGTCACAATTACTCTACGTCAAGAACCATTCACGTCCACCTGTTTAAGTCCGGTTTCATGCCTCACTATAATGTTTGGACCAAGCACGGAGAAAGAGGGGTTATGATGGAAGACAATGAAGAAGAAGAGGACGAGGACAGCTATCCTGGCCATGGGTTCCCTGAATACGGTGATACAACAATGGGGGAAGAAGCTGAGCCGGTAATGCGGGAAGAAGCTGAGCCGGCAATGCGGGAAGAAGCTGAAGAAGAGGCATCAGATGAGCCCGTTGATGATCTAGGTCGGGCCATTGCCGATGCAAAGAGAAACTGCGCAAGTGATTTGGAGAAGAAGAAGTTGCAGCGCATGTTAGAGGATCACAAAAAATTGTTGTACCCGAATTGTGTAGGTGACAAGAAAAAGCTAGGCACCACACTGGAATTGCTGCAATGGAAGGCAGAGAATGGTGTATCTGACAAGGGATTTGGAAAGTTGCTAGTAATGATAAAGGATATGCTTCCAAAGGACAACGAATTGCCCGAGAGTACGTACGAAGCAAAGAAGGCTGTCTGCCCTCTAGGGTTAGAGGTGCAGAAGATACATGCATGCCCTAATGATTGCATCCTCTACCGCGGTGAGTACGAGGATTTGAACGCTTGCCCGGTATGTGGTGCATTGCGCTATAAGATCAGCCGCGATGACCCTGGTGATGTCGAGGGCGAGTGCCCCAGGAAGAAGATTCCTGCCAAGGTGATGTGGTATGCTCCTATAATACCACGATTGAAACGTTTGTTCCAAAACAAAGAGCATGCCAAGGCGATGCGATGGCACAGAGAAGACCGTAAGAAAGACGGAAAGTTGAGAGTACCCGCTGACGGGTCACAGTGGAGAAAAATCGAAAGAAAGTACGGGAAGGAGTTTGAAAATGACGCAAGGAGCATATGGTTTGGTCTAAGCGCAGATGGCATTAATCCTTTTGGGGAGCAGAGCAGCAACCATAGCACCTGGCCTGTGACTCTATGTTTGTA